CTTGTTCAGCTACTTAAAAGAGATCATGTTTGATCCTGAGTCCAGATATCCTGGGGGAAGGAACAGATTGGCCCAGCTTGATTGACTTGATTAATCCCATGATCAAGCACTGTATGACACAAGATAGATTACTTTATAGTATCCATATTAGTAAAGTAGTAGTAGCACTTAATATTTATTGAGCATTTATGGACTAGGCACTTTTCTAGCCCTATGAAATTACTTCCTAATAGGATTATAAAATGATAGTAGCACTTTACAATCCTATGAAGGTACTTTGACTTTATAGGTAAGCTAAGGCTTAGAAGGGAATTTACTCAGCCAAGATCACACAGCTAATATATGGTAGAGCCAGAAAGTATTATAAAAAAGATAAAATGGAAGATGGAAAGTGATGTAGATAAGAAAAGAGGGCCTACCCAGAGTGTTCAGTGTTTAATATACAGTATTGTCTAGTGGTTAGACTATGGATTCTGGAGCCAGAATTTCTTGATTTTAATTCTGGTGTTACCACTTACTACCAGTGTAACCTCAGGCAAGTTACTTAACTTTTCTGTGATTTAGTTTCCTTGTGTGTAAAATGAGAATACATCTACTCCTCACTTATCAACTATCTCATTATCTGACATTTCACATTTACAACAATAGTAAAAAATCCATTTGACTGTTTTGTGCCTTGACAACATACATCTGGCAATAACAAAAAGTACCCAGCAAGAGTTATGCTGGGTTGATGGTTAAAGTAGTGTGTCAGCTTGGGTGGGCCATGATTCTTAGTGGTTTGGCCGTTATGTGATGATATAATTTGATAGTTATGTAATGATGTAGTCCTCCTCCATTTTGTGATCTGCTGTGATTATCTTCCATTCTCACATTCAATTTTCACATAACTGCCTGGTCTTTGGAACCTAACCATGTCCATAAGTGAGGAATAAGTGTAATTAAAAAAAAAAAAAAACTGCTGAGTTGGATCCGACCCATAGTGACTCCTCCTTGGGTTTCTGAGGTGGTATCACTATGGAAGTAGATCACCCAATAGTACCTACATTAGAGGATTAACAGGATTTGATGAGTTAATGCAAGCAAAGTACTTAGGTTAAAACATTAACTGGACCTGAATTAAGTTTAAAATTAAATATCAATTGTAATAGAATAATAAATTATGGAAACAGCATAAGGGAAAAAAAAATATCAGATAGTTACCAAAGAAATAATAGTTGAACAATTCCTAGGACTGAAGATTGAAAAGAGCCAGTAACTGACCAGGACAGGACATATACAAAGACCCACACATGAAATTTTAGTATATTTGGGTTAAAAAGATTCTGAAAGCTTCTAGAGAGAAAAGACAGAACACATGCAAAGGATTAGAACTCAGAATATTGGATTTCTCACTGGTGATTCTGAATTCTGGAAGAAAATGAAGCAGTGCCTTAAAAATTCCAAGGGAAGAGGTTGTATATCCTAAGACTGTGTCTTCAGACCAGGCATTTTAACACATGCAAAACTAAAGGAGATATGAATGTACTTATTTACTTC